GCCCTGGGGGTGCCAGTCTCAGACCACGGTGCTGGAAGGTGTCTGGGGAGCCTGCCTTCTCAGGGTGGTGGAGGGGCTACTAGCTCTGGGATTTTTAAAAATAAGAGCACACATAGAATAGAATCTAACCACATTCTAAAGGTCACGCCCCCATGACCACCCATCTCCTTGAGAGCTGGGGTTTCAGCATGGGAACCAGGTGCAGTCACCATTCTTAATTGAGCCTTCTCTGGCTGGTGAGGTCTAAGGACGTCGCCCAGAGATTGAGGAGTAGACGGGGTCAAATGGGTAGTGGGCAGCCAGTCTCCTGCGAGGCCTGCTTCTGCCTCTGACTCAGGGCATGCAGCTGGGCAGCCGGGCAGGTCTCTGTGATCTCCATTCCAGCCCTGCTGCAGATGAAGGACCTGCCCCAGAGAGGACGGAGAGTACAAGGCTGCAGGGAGAACAGAGGTAGACGGGACCAAGGCTGCTTCTCCTAGCTCGTGGGTCAGTGCAGTGCCCTCCGGGATACCCCAGGAAGCCTGGTTTCCTAAAGCCAGGTGTATGGTAGGGAAGAGGCCAGGGACCACAGAGAAGGAGGAACTTCAGGATCCAGGCATGCTCTGAAAGATGGAGTCTGAACCTCTTGTGCTATAGTTGTCTCGGCCAAGACTGCTGGCTGTGATGAAACAAGGGGCCCAGGTCTGTGCCTGCCACTCTGCTAGCTCAGTCTTCCTCCCCTGGGTGCCAGTTCTCAGCTGTATTTCTTCCCACATTCCCCCCTCCCCCTTCTCCTTGCTGTCTCTCTCTCCTGGGATGGCCTTGAACTTGCTGTGTAGCCAAGAATGATCCCAAAGCTTTGGTCCACTTGCCTCCATCTTCTGAGTGCTGGGGTCACATACAACGCACCATCTGACCCCATTTCTGTCCTTGTCTTGTTCTCATGGATGTCATGTGGTCTGATGTGGCCTCCTGGACTGGCTTCAGCCTCATCTGTCTTGTTCTCGGGATCTCCTCACTTGTTCGTTGGGTCTCTCTCTCCACTGCCTCCAATGCCACAGGCCCAGCTGGTCCCTCCCTTCCTCCGTCTCGCACTCCTATGTCTATCTCTGGTAGCAATTATTCTGGGTTGGAATGGAATCCTTTAGGGCCCAGACAGAACCAAGAGCTGCACATAGGGACCAGATGCTGACAAAATCCTCAAGAAACTAGACACTTTGGTCATGGGAGTTGGGAGGGGTGAACCTGGAGAGGGCATAGCCCACTCAAGAACACAGACCCACATTCTGTGGCTGCTCTGGGGCCCTGGCTTACCAGGCTGCTCTACCAATAGAATCAAGACCCAGGGCTGGGTCAGCCTTCCAGGGCCAGCCAGGGCTGGCTAGAGACAGGAGAACGCTCACTGGAAACCAAGACTTCACAGACTGCAGCCATCACCATCCTCCACCCACTACCTCCTGAAGGTCACTGATGCCTGGGAAACAGGCCAGAAGGCTGGAGTCTGAGTCCAGGCTCTGATCTTACGAGTGAGACGTAGCAGGCTGGGTTCCAGACCAGCTCTGCTTCTGGCTATGTGACCTATGTGGCCTTGAGCTAGTCACTGCCCTTCTCAGAGTCTTCCCCTGGAAATCGGAACTAGCAGTAGCACCGCTGTTGGGGATAATGGGGAGGATTCACTTATCACCATGCATGAAGCTGGCTTAGGACCTAGCAGAGTGTTCAAGTAATGATAAAAGTAATACTAAATAATTGTTACTAATTCTTTTTAAAGTGCAGGTTAGCTCAAGCTGTTTCTCCTCAGGAGTTTCCATGGCTCCCCATGGCCTAACTAGTAAAGTCTAAGCAAGCTCAAGTGGTGAATTTTCTGTCCTCATCCAGTTCAATTCATCAGAGCAGTGCTCCCTCTGAGTCACAGGGTTTAGCAGAGCAGTGCTCCCTCTGAGTCACAGGGTTTAGCAGAGCAGTGCTCCCTCTGGGTCACAGGGTTTAGCAGAGCAGTGCTCCCTCTGGGTCACAGGGTTTAGCAGAGCAGTGCTCCCTCTGAGACAGCTGCCTGCTTGGCTCCTTGGCCCTTGGGTCATTGCCCATTCCACCATGGGCCCCTTCTTACCCCCTGCCGGCTCTTCCAAGTTCATACCTTTGCCAACTCAGTTATTTAAGTTTTGAAGTACTGGGGCTTGAATTCAGGATCTTGTGTTAGGCAGGCACTGATCCCCGAGATGCAGCCCCAACCCTTAGCAAATGTTTGTTTGCTTGTGTAGTTGGAATAGGGTCTCACAGAGCTGTTAAGGGTGGCCTCAGACTGTCTATATCCTCCTGCCTCAGCCGCCTGAGCAACTTGGATTGCAGGCCTGTGCCACCTAGCCGGGCGCTCATCCACCTTCTTTTTTTTTTTTTTTTTTTTTTACTTTTTAAAAGTTTTTATTTATTTTTTTTAATTTAGGTTAGAAACAATCTTGCTTCACATGTCAATCCCAGCTCCTTCTCCCTCCCCTTCTCCCCTGCCCTCCCCACCAAGTCCCCCAGTCCCCCACCCAATCTCCACTCCGATCACCAAGGAGGATCATCCACCTTTTAATACATCTGTGTCCTTGGGAAATCCCCTGAAGCTCCCTCAGGCAGGAGCTCAGCTCCGAGCATTGCAGGTGCTCTCCTCAGGCTCATCCTTGGATCTCCAGCTTGGCCTCTCCCTGACTTCTCATCATGCCCAGCCAGCTCTTGCGTGTCAGAGTTAACTGGTCCAAACTAGAACTTGTGATTTTTCTCCTTCAAGTCTCTCCAGTGCCGCCCCCATACTGTTCAGACCAAGAACTTTTCAGCCATTCCAGAGCTCTCTCTCATACCCACACCCAAAATGTCAGCAAATCCTGGCAGCTCCATCTCCAGAAATATGCTGAAGTCTCTTAGACCACCACTGTCGTTAACTGGCCACTGCCACAGCTGTGGCTAATCCTGCGCTGCCCCTCCTCCCTCTGCAGATGCCTTTAAAAAGATGTGCGCAGTGGATGCGCGGGTTGGTAGAGTTACTATTGTCTAGCATGCAGGAGGGCCTGGGACGGGTCCCCAGCACTGAATCAACCAGGTATAATGGTGCAGGTAGTAACCCTAGAACTCAGGAGGTGGAGGCAGGAGGATCAGAAGTTCAGGGCCAACCTTGATGTGTCTAGTAAGTTTGAGTTTAGCCTGAGCTATAGAAAATTCTGTCTCAAAAAACCAGACAAACAAGACCAACAAAAGCAAAGCAAAATATTATGTTTTCAGGACTATATACACTTGTCAAAACTCACTGGGAATGTATTTTACTATGTGTAAATTATATACTATTTTTCTTAAAGGAAGCAAAACCCAGGTTCCCTCATTCCTCCTTACAAACCTGCATGGAAGCCTCTCAATCAGCTTTCCTCCATCAGAGCCAACACCGTCTTGTTTTATTTTCCTTTTGAGACAGAGTCCTGCTGTAAAGCCAGGCTTTAAAACAATCCTCTTGCCCCAGTATCGTGATTACATGGGTTTCACCACACCTGGCTTCAAGGTCATTGCCAGCATTATTACTGTTTTGGTTTGTGACAGGGTCTTACTCTGTAGCCCAGGCTAGCCCTAAACTCAGTTTGACAGCTGAAATCATATGCCTGAGCAAACACATTTGACACCACCACTGTTATCATTGAGACAAGATCAGCAGAGATTGGAATCGACTGTGTAGCTTTGGCTGGCCTGGAGCTCATAGAGATGTGCCTGCCTCTACCTCCTAAGTGCTAGGATGGCGCCAGCATTATTTTTAACCAAAGTAAAACACACAGTGCATATTTTTATAGTTTGCTTCACTTCTATTTTATACATGTATGCTGGCACTAGATTGCTGAATAAAACCTTTCCTACAGTGAAAATAAATAAGAATTCAAGGCCGGGCAGGCATGGTGGCACATGCTTTTAATATCAGCACTTGGGAGGCAGAGGCTGGCATATGTTTGAGTTTGAGGCCAGCCTGGTTTACAGAGTGAGATCCAGGACTACACAGAGAAATCCTGTTTAAAAAAAAAACACCAAATGAACGAACAAACAAAATGCAAGGCCACTGCTGGGCATGGGCTGTCCCCGCCTCTGTTACCCTGTGACTGTGACTTAGTCTCTCTTCTCTATCCTGCTGCAGCCCTCCTTAATGCTTCCAGCTGCTGTGCGGTTCCTGGCATTCTCCCGCCCAGGCCCTTTGCACTGGTGCCGCGAACATTCTTCCTTTCTCATTTCCTTTGCTTCTCCTCTCAAATGTCAGTTCCTAGGGAGAGGCTTTCCTGGCTAGCAGGCTGAAAATAGCGGTGCTCCCAGCTTCCCCGAATCTCTGCCTCACTTTCTTTTTCTGCGCAGTGCTTGTAGCTCTCCGAGATGTGTTTGTTTATCTGTTCACTTCCCTACACTGGAATGCAAGCTCCATGTGGTAAGGATTGTGTTGGTTTCATTTGCTGCTGCACCCTGGTGCCACATGTTTACACACAGTTGGATGCACGCTGTCCCTGTCTTCAGGCACCACGCAGCCTGGCTGAGACTGCCTCTCGTGCGTGCGGCTCTGTAAATGATAGAGTGCTGGCAGCCATGTTCAGCGTTTGCTGAAGGAACCCGCTCAGCTGAGGGCCCATGGGGCCTCATGGGCCTGGTGAGGCCTGCTGTTCCCCTGGAGCCTGCTGCTCTCTGGAAGCTTCCCAAGTGGCTTTTCTACACTCTAGAAGACTACCCCAGAAGGCTACCCCCAGGGAACCCCGTTCCCTCTGGGGACTCTAACAAACCCCCATAGAGCTTCAGGCTCTATGCAGGCTGAAATGCTTTGTGGGTCCAGCTTAGCAAAACAGTCAGTGCCCCCGCAGGGATGATAGCTTCCTACAGAAGATGGTGCTTGCTGCATGGAGGCTGCCCTGGTTGGGAAGTCGGCCTTGCCAGGATCTCTTTCTTTTTTTTTTTTTTTTTTTTTTTTTTTTTTGGTTTTTACGAGACAGGGTTTCTCTGTATTGTTTCTGAGGCTATCGGTCCAGCCCGGCCTCGAACTCACAGAGATCCACCTGCCTCTGCCTCCCGAGTGCTGGGATTAAAGGCATGCACCACCACCACCCGGCCCAGGACCTCTTTCTTACCATGTAGAGACACACCTACTCGGCTTCACTGATTTAAGTGTGTAAGAACTAGGAGGAGAAGATCAAGTCTTTGCAAATGTAACTATTCTAGTCCTGATTCCTTGGCTCAACTACTGAGAGCTCATGAAGACTGTGAATGACAACTCCATTCCCTAGACAGGACACTGAGAACCCGGCAGGAGTAACACCCCTGATGCCACATAGCATGCTGGGGCTTTAGCCCACAACCTCCAGCCAGCAGCCTGGAGCCTTCAGAAGTCATCAGAGGCCACCTGAGAAGGCCTAGGCCAGGCCACAGAACTGGAGCCTGGCATGTACAAGGTAAGGAGGTGGTGCCTTTGAAACCAAGGCTGCATTTGAGGAACCCTGAAAATTCAGACTGGTTGGATATTTATAGGTACAGAGAGATTTGGAGGAGGGGAGGGAAGGATGGATTGTTTCCAAGTAGGACAGTTTGTTGGGGAAAACAACAGTCTAGTTGATGTGCTCTGAGAAATGGGAGAGAATAGTCCTTTTTTGGGGCATGTCCAGTGCAACCTGGGAAATTTATATCCAGTTCTCTACCCTTCCTAGACATACAGTGCACAGACAATCCTGTGCCTACACACAGATATATTATATATGTATTATAATATATATAGATTTGTGTGTGTGTATAATATGTGTGTGTACTTAGCTACCTACCTACATACATATGTATATGATGCTATTTTAGGATACAGAAGCTCCCAGTTGAGTGATTCCCTTTGGGAATGCTCAGGAATAGGAATCAAGTACAGGGCCTGGGAAAATGGGCCATCAAAGCTGCCCGAGCATTCAGCTAGCCGTGGAGAAGGGATAAGAGGGCTGCAGGGTTACAGAGGATGGCTAAATATAGGGACACCAGAGATGGAAGTGGTTCCTGCCAACAGCAGGGGGCATGCAGTTGCTTTTAGGGGCGGGACCAGGATGCTGGGGACCAGGGTGGATGGGTCTCCAAGTGCCACATTGTCTTGGGCTAGACCAGACACCTAGAGGGCCTGGGTCCGGACCCATGGCTAGGGTGATCATGATCACTGTGCATGGTTCCCAGTCTTTGCTCTGTCCCACCTATAGTTAGAGTTCAGGCTTGGAGGAGTGTCCTCTGAAGACCAAAGGATTTCTCTGGGAGACACATGTGTCAGTGTTGGACTGCCTGCAGATGAATGAAATAAGGTTTTGCCCAGAATGACAGTATCTTCTCCACTTGCTTCCAAGGCCCCGGGGAAGGCAAGTCACCTGTTGGTTCATTGCTCTATCCCCAGAGGTCTGTGGGTCAGAGTCTGGCCTAGACTATGTGTTCACTGCGGATCAGAATGCATTGCTCAGAGCGTCAAATCAGGTGTTGTGCAGGGAAATCCTGAGGCTGGCTATCAAAGAACAGAGAGAACCCCAAGCCAGCCCTTATGTTATCTCCGAGGATGACATGTCAGGTAAAGACTCAACAGTATGTGATGAGAGGCTTCAGAGAGATCTTGAATCTAAATGGGAGCCAAGTGTGAGAAAGGCTGGCAGAGATTAAAATGTGGCTAGGACACGGCCAAGGACTCTGTTGCATAGCCTGGCAGTATCTAAAAGGATGAGTGTGCAACTTATTCTTCTTGGAGGCAGGGTTTCACAGTGTGCACCTCTGGTTGAGCTGGAACTCACTATGTAGAGCAGACCTCAAATTCAGAGAACCACCTTCCTCTGCCTCCTGAGTGCTGGGATTAAAGGCATGTGCCACTACACTCAGCCACAACCCTTTTAGAAAAAAGTTCTAGAACTTTTACTTATATTTGCCTTCTTGAAAAAGGAACTGTTTAAGCTCTACTAATATTTAAGATATCTGTGACCATTGGTAACCTTACCTTTTTGTTTGTTTATTTGAGACAGGGTTTCCTTGTGTAGCCCCAGATGTCTTGGAATTCACTGTGTAGACCAGGCTGGCCTCAAACTCACAGAGATTTACCTGTCTCTGTCTCTCAAGGGCAGGTATTAAAGGCATGTGACACTACCGCCCAGCCTGGTAACCTCATTTTATCCATGTTGTAGTTGACCACATGTCCTGTCTCACAAGCATCGTAGCTTTGGCTTTTCTGCGACACCTCCACTCGATAAGCATGACACAAGACTTCACAGAGGCACTAATTTTATAAAGACGCTGGTCGAATCTCCCTGGAACTTATTATTGGTAGAAACAGTCACAAAAGTACACTCCCACTGTCTCATAGCAAAGAGTTTCAGAGACTGACAGTCTTGAAGGTGAAGATGCCATTTCCACTTATGAAAAGACAATGCCACCTCGGTATTGGTTCCTTCAGTGGTGACAAAGGACACCATCTATCAGACATTACAACAAATACAAACTCAGCATCTTTTGGTAAGGGTGCAGACGGCTGGGTAAGAAGTTCACACTACAGGAGCACTTTGTCAAGTCAAGCTTTGCAGAACCACTTTGCATGATTCTGTTGTTGGAGTGGTGACCTGCCCCTGTCACAGCAGCACATAGCAAAATAGGGGAATAGACCTCTATAGCTTACTTTGAAGATTTATTTTTTTGTTTGTTTAATGTCTATGAATGTTTGCCTAAATGTATGCCATTGTTCACAGAGGTCAGAAGAGGGCATTGAATCCCCATTGGACTAGAGTTACAGACAGTTATGAACTGTTTTGTGGGTGTTAGGAATTGAACTCGGGTCTTCTGGAAGATCAACCATTGTTCTAAGTCATTGAGCCATCTCTGCAGCCCAGAAGATTTATTTTGATAAGTATCCAGTAACACTTGATTGTCATCAGCTATATAAAAAAAATTAAAAACCTGTGCCCAGAATTGAAAATTGTGCCTGTGAGCATTTCTCCTAGCATTATGGCTCTTGGGATGTACCTTTCTCCGATATAATAACATCAAACCAGGCCCTAAGACATTCGTGGTAGAGCACACTGGTCACACCATCACAAGAGTTCAAGACCAATGGGCTACATAGTGAGACCTTGTCTCAAAAGAAAGAAAACACAGACCAACAAAGGCAAATGAAAAGATAAATGGAATTTGGTATCAGATTTTCAAATGAGGGAACCGTACCTTTCAACCAAGATTGTATTTAAAAATGAAGCATGTGGGGCAGGGCGGGCAACGATGAGACAGCTCAGAAGGGAAATAAGTTCGCCTCAAAAGCTCAATCTGAGATGAATTCCCGGAACCGCCGTGGAAGGAGAGAACCAAGTCCTCAAAGCTGCCCTCTGACCTCCACAAGAGTGTAAATAAATGAAACAAAGCAAATTTTAGTACTAATGTATTGGGACAAAAGAAAACGCTTTCTATTGCCACCGAATCAAATGAAAATAAAGCCAAAATATTATTCATTCTCTCACTCATGTCTATTTTTATGCGTACAGGTATATCATCTATTGCTTCCTTTTTTTTTTGGTATCTCATCTCAGACTAGCTTTGAATTGCTGAATGGATGAATGTGTGCCATGTGCTTGCCATTTAATTTCTACATAGAAAGATAATGTGACTAGTTGACATCACACACCTTTGCTTTAGCGTCAGGAGAACAAGATTCATCTGTGGCCAAGAGCAATGTGGGGAAAAGAAACAGAAGGAAGGATCTACCTGAGGCCACTTCTGGAGCCTGTGGAGCTGGGCAGTGATCCAGGCCAGACTCAGGAAAGGCCTGAGGTGGGCCTGAGCCGAGGACAGCGAGGAGTCGTGCAGCGCCTTCGGCTCTCTGAAGAGGGGAGAAGGACGGGCTGTGGTAACTGCGGATGAACGCTGGGATCTGCACTTCACTTGCTGTAAGGGGCAACAGGAGGAGGATTGCTACTTGATGGGTGTATTGAGCAGGCTTTGCTGTCGCACTGTCTTCAACCCTGGCTTGTAAATTATTGGGAACAAGCTAGTAAGCCTTCCTGAACCTCAGTTTCGTAACCTGACAAAGAGGAAAACAAGGGTGTGCGTGGCAGGCTGGGCCCTTGGTTCTGAGCATATCTGAGGCAGGACTTTGTTTTTTATATATAACATAATTCTTTATTGATTCTTCAGGAATTTCACAGCATACATCCCAATCATGCTCACCTCTCAGTCCCTCTAAATCCTCCCCTCACGCTGCAGCATCTCCCGCAAAGAAACTCCTCCCAAAGTCAATTAAAAACAAGACAAAACCCAGAAAACCCCACCTCGCTCCTGTTTTTCTAACACCTCTTCTTTTATCTTACTGGCATTGGAAGCTGCGGTGTGTCACAATCAGCCCCTCCACAAATGTTCATTGTAATGAGTCATTGGTTTGGACCCTCACTGAAACTCTCAGATATCCTGCTGTTGCTACGAGTCATGGGGATCCTGTGGCTATCGTTTTGCAGGACCAGGCCCACAGGACCAGGCCCTTCACGTGCTCCAGCAGGTCACAAATGGGGTAGATTGTTAGGGTGGGCCAGCCTGAGGCCTAGGATGAGGGTCTGAGTGGCCAGCTTTCCTACTCCCATGGTGAGGGGTGGAGCCGTCTCTCCCGAGTACAGGGACCATCTCTCCCATGGGAGGCAAGACCAGCTCTCCTGCTGCAGTGTCCAGTCAGGAACAGGGCCAGCTATCCCAGGACCAGTGAGGGGGGGCCCTCAGATTTCAACACAGATGGTTCCTATGTCCCCTGTGCTAACATGGGCCATGGATATCATCACACACCCCAGCTGCAGCAGGAACCCAGACATGGCCCTCAGCAGCAGTTCACATCTGTATATCACCATGGTTCTGGTGGCAGCATAGGCCACCCAGATCGGTATGACCAGATAGCAGCAAGGCCCTTGGACGCCAACATGGTGACTGTCCAGAACCTGGGCCTCCGCACACCCTTCAATGGTAACAGGAACCATGGACATCAGCTTATAACCTGGCTGCTACTGGACCACAGATCCAGATATGGCCCGAGGCAGCCACCCAGGCCCAGACAACACCATGGCCCTATGTGGTATCACAGGCCACTCAGATCAGTATGGCTCCAGTGACAGCAAGACCCTCAGATACCAACATGGCCCCAGGTGGCAGCTCAGACCCTTGGCACTGGTCTGTACCAAGAGCCACAGACAACACAGACCCTGGCTGTGGTAGAGCCATGGACCCAGACATGGCCTCCTGCCTTGGTGGTAACATAGGTCTTGGATGTTAACACAGACCCTAGTTGTGGTGTGACTACAGCCCCGGACGTGATCCTAGGCAGCAGCCCAGGCCCGGATGTCACCCTGGGCCCAGGTGGCAAGCAGACCACCTACATCAGCCTCTTCCTCACCGCCTTCGCTTCTTCAGTTCTGTCTCTTTGTACAGCACATGACCGTTCTGCTTCTCTCTCTCCCACTTCTTTACCGTATATGTGCCGTCATAATGGCACCCACCCACACCTCAAGGCACCAGGTGGGCCCTTGGATCCTCCAGGCATCCCAGACTATGGGCCCCAGGCTGCCCTGTGGGTGTCTTTCACCTGAGGCTGCACTTTATTCTGCATCTCTGAATGGACACCTGTAAGGAACAGGACGGCACACCCAGTGGGGCACCGAGGAACACTGTGGAGGGCAGGGGCTGAGCCTGGGGAAGGTGGCCCAGGCAGAGGGAATGGCTTGGACAGAACCACAGGACCACAAGAGACAGTTGAAATTCGGAGAAGTAAAATTCCCGAAGGTCCTGGGAGATCACTGGACTCAGGAGGCTCAGGGCCTATTCCAGTCAGCTCAGGAGGACCTGAGAGTCAGCCGCACTGTAGCCTTGGAAGAGAGAAAGCCCTGAGGGAGTCTCCCAGGCAAGTCCATGGGCCAAAGAGAGCCACTGCTTCTGCAGGCTTATGAGGAGGGGCCCTGATTGGGGAAATAAGAGTACATCTGGGAGACTTGTAGACACACAATGGGGAGACTAGGGCCCAGAAAAAAGGCGATTGTTTACCCCAGAGTACACTAGAATATGGCAACCAGATGGGAAGGGTGTGGCCCTTCCGCCAGGGTTTGAGACATCCCCCACATGGAGCAGACCTTTGGCTCTCTCACTGGTATGAGTATAGGAGTTTCCCAAGGGGGCCTGCTTCATGGGAGATGCCTGCTGGCGGGGCTGAGTCCAAGTCGTGTTGGTGCCACCTCTCACTGATAGCCTGGGAAAGGAGGGTCTGTGGTCTCCTGAGGGTCTGTGGACTCCTGGGCTCTTCAGAACAACTCCAGAAGCTCTCAACCTGATTCTGAGGGCATGAGGGAAACATGGGAGGTGCCCGTGCACTTCCTGATGATGCCCCAACGTGGTGGCTGTGTTCTATCTGTGATAGGGATGCCCTAGACAGTAAGGGCACAGGTGGTTTATGGGCAGTTCAGTTTAAGCCTATATCCCTAGGGCCACAACTAGAAAAATTGGCAGATGAGGACACACACAACACACACACACACACACACACAGAGAGAGAGAGAGAGAGAGAGAGAGAGAGGAGAGAGAGAGGGAGAGAGAGAGAGAGAGAGAGAGAGAGAGGGAGAGGGAGAGAAAGTTCAACACCCTATCTGTCCCTTCCTCAACATTAAAATGTACATAAACACCCCCCTCACCCTCCCACCCCCCACCAACTAACTTTCCCATCAGCCCCTCTGAGCCAGCTGCCCTGTGAGCAATTGGTGAAGGGTGTCAGAAACCCCAGGTCTATTAGTTCTGCAGGTTGCTCTAGCAACAGGCTGTGTTGTGATGCTTCAGAGGCCCAAGGGTCTGTTAGTCAGAGGCATGCAGGAAGGGTCATCACGTCCCCTCTAGCTCTGGAAGGCTTGGCAAGCTGGTCACGTCTGGGAGTGGTCCAAGGACAGTCATTGTCTGGTTTCACAAGAATGCTTGGCCCAGAAGTAGTCCCTGTAGCAGACTTTGGTCTGCTAACAAATGTGGTGGGGGCTTCAGACAACCCCTACCCTGCTCTTCACAGGGGCAAAAGAGTCCCTACCTTCCAGTGAGAGAAGACCAAAGGAGGATGCTGACACAGCTTTGACTCAGCCCTGTAAACAGGCTTCCCCCTTGAAGTGAGACCCTCTGGAGGCTCCCATACTTAGCAGTGAAGAGCCAAGGGTCTTCTACCCAGGGCTCCTTGTGGGGACATCTCAAAGCCTGGAGGAAAGGCCACGTCCTTCCCATCTGGCTGCCATATTCTATTGTACTCTAAGGTAGACAAGCACCCCTTCTCTGGGCCCCAGACTCCCCATTGTGTCCATAGGTTTCTCAGGAGACGCGCTCCTACCTTCCCAATCAGAGCCCTTCTCACTCCCATAAGCCTCCACGCAATCCAGCCTTGTGAGTTCCTTGCACATCATTATCTCTTCTTAGCATACATTGTCCTGTCTGCTGGGGATGCCCTATCCAATTATCTGGCCTGTCACCTCCTGGAAACCTTTACCTGCCTGGCTTCAGTATCCCCTATGACTGTAGCTGCTGTGGACCTGAGGACAAAGGCAATAGAGGCCCTGCCCCACTCAGACCACAGGAACAGGCCTTTCTCAGCTGTCAAGATTGGGGAGGGAGGATATAGAATCATCAAGATAGCTCAGTAGGGAAAGCCATTTGCCTCCATGTCTCACAACCTGAGTTTGATCCCTGGGACCCAAGTTGAAGGAGGAGAAAACTGATTTCAAAAACTTGTGTGTGGTGACATATTATTTATGATTTATTAAATCTTGCCTGGGGGTGCAGAAAGCAAACCCAGCCACACTAGTTAGCTATGGAGGTCAGGCAGTGGTGGTACACACCTTTAATCCCAGGACTCAGGATTAAGAAGCAGATGGATCTCTGTTAGTTCAAGGCCACCCTGGGTTACAGGAGAGTGAATCAGAACGCACACCTTTAATCCCAGGATTTGATAGATGTAAAAGGTGGAGGCATTCAGTCTCAGGATCAATCTCTAGCCACGTTGAGGAGAGCATAGCAGACTGAGTGAATCCGAGGAGCAGTGAAGTCGGGAGGATCGCCCCTTTGGTCTGAGCTGAGGTAGAGGTAAGAGCTAGCGGCTGATTGCTTTGCTTTTCTGATCTTCAGCTTGAAACCCAATATCTGTCTCTGGGTCTTTTGTTTTTTGTGTTACACTTGCCCTCACACACACAAATACTAGACAAAACCAATTTAACTTATAAAAAAAGATGGAAAGAATCATAGGGTTAATGCCCCAGTCAGTGGTCCTCTCCCTAAGTGTCCCCTTAACACACCTGGCTGCTGTCCCATTCCCGCCAACTGGGATCTCCCTGTTGAAGATGCTGTCTCAGAATTACCAGCGTTCACAGGCTCCGGGGAGCCTGTCTCGGTTCCTTCACGTAGAGGAAGAGGCCAGTGACCTCACCAAGAGGAGGATTACAGCAGAGCTGGGTCCCATGCTTCTGGACA